CATCGTAGAAAGTGATGGAATCGAAAAAGGCTGGGCGAAAATTAAAGCAAGCATCCTAGATTCAGCAAAAGAAGCTGTAGGAGAAAGGAAAATTCTTAAAAATAAATATTTCCAAAAGCGGAAAACTCCGTGGTTTCGCGCAGAAGTGAAAGAAAAATGCCAAGAAAAAAAGGAAGCTTACTTAAGATACATGTCTAACAAAACACCACAAGAATACAACAATTACAAAAAGAAGAAACGAAACAATAGCACTAGTAAGAAAAATTAAAAACGAATACTGGGAACGCTTCTCAAAAGAAATGGAACACGACTTTTACGGTCTACAAAAGAAAATATGGCGTTTCATAAGAGGCCAAAGAGATCAGAGATGAAAGACTTAATCGAACCGAAACACATAGATAACGACACATGGATTGAATACCCAAAGAAGCTTTATAATAATGAACAGCAAATGATGTTAGAACCAGAAACACTAGAAATCGTACAAGAAGTAAAACAAACTTTAGAAAAACTGAAGAACAGAAAAGCTGCAGGTAAAGATGGAATTCCAAACGAATTACTGAAATATGGTGTAGCATGGTATAGCATTAAGAGAACAGCTAACAGCACTAATTAACACAATTATCAAACATAATAAAATACCTGAAGAGTGGAAGAAAAGCGAGCTTATCCTACTATACAAAAAAGGAGATAAAAAACAACCTGAAAACTACAAAGGTATCAACTTATTAAACACCACTTTGAAGCTTACAACCAAAATATTGCAAGGCCAAATAAATCAGAGAATTACCTTAGCGGATGAACAGCAGGGTTTTCGCACAGGAAGATCGTGCACAGATGCAGTATTCATCATAAAACAGATTACTGAGAAAGCACTAGAGTATAACAGACCAGCATTCATGTGTCTAATAGACCTGAAGAAAGCGTTCGATAAAGTAAAGCTTAAAGATGTAATTCACCTTCTTTACGATAGAGAAATTCCACTAGATGTTATAAAAACAATAGAGAACATTTACCAGAACAACAATATGGAAGTCAGAATAGATGACCAGCTGACAGATCCAATAGATATGGGCAATGGAATAAGACAAGGAGACTCGCTTAGTCCAACGCTATTCAATCTAATCATGGATGAAATTATCAATACTATTAATAAAGGAAGACGATACAAAATGGGGAACAAAGAAATCAGAATACTCTGCTTTGCAGATGATGCGGTCCTAATTGCATCCAATGAAGACGATCTACAAAGACTTACCCATAGATTCAACACAAGGGCAAAGGACTTTAATATGGTGATCTCTACACAGAAAACTAAAACAATTGTAATCAGTAAAGAACCAATTAGATGTAAACTGGAAATCGACGGTATCAGCATTGAGCAAGTAATGGAGACAAATTACCTAGGAATTACACTGTCTAGCTACGGAGATGTAGAGAAGGAAGTGAAAAATCAAGTACAAAAGGCTAATAAAATAGCAGGCTGTCTTAATAACACGATATGGCGCAATCCCCACATTAATACCGACGTGAAATCAAGAATCTACAAAGCAAAAATAAGACCAATAAAGACATACACTTCAGAGACAAGACGGATACCTCCAAAACTCAGCAACTACTAGAAACAGCGGAGATGCGTTTACTAAGGAAAATTACAGGAAACACACTGAGGGATCGAATGAGGAGTGAAGAGATCAGAAGAAAATGCAATATACCAGAAATAAATGAGTGGACACTGAACAGAAAAAAGGAATGAAACGGACACATAAACAGAATGGAAGAGACCCGATTAGTCAGAATAGCGAGGGACAAATCACCAAAAGGTAGAAGAAGTATCGGGCGACCACGCAAAAGATGGAGTGATAACCTCCAATAGAGGCATTAATCGACATTGAACAAGCATTTTGCTTATAAAAAAGAAGAAGAAGAAGAAGATAATTTGTATTAACTCAGCGAGCAAACTTTGATATCTTTTGGTAAGAGTGTTCTATCGATAAGTCGAAAAGAGTAGCTTCTCTCTCTGAAGTCAGCTTCTATAAAGCTGTTAACCCTACGTTGTTGTGGTGCCTAAAACTTACGTATCTGGTGTGCTGTGGTGTGACATACCCCATAGCAAAATACGTCTTGGAAAACTCAATACTTGAGTATCTGCATCAAAAGTATAATTGAATAAGAAAACTTCAGCTAAAACAATTTATTGCACAGTTCAAAAATAGCAGAAATAGCAACTTAAAATTATTAAATTTTTCTGAAATGAAAAAAGACTTTTGAACACAAAACACAACTCAATTTTCTTTATTGACTTATATTATATAAACAAATAAATATTATAAAAAATAATACATACATCACCAAAAGTTACAACATCATCTACTAACTTTTCTCGTTGACGCAAGTATCGCATTTGAAACATGCGTGTTATATACAAACAAAATGTATGCAATCATAACACACTTAGCGACTTTTTCTGTCTCTTGTTCTGGGACACACTACACATCTACATTGTACTTTCTGGCGTTTAGGCTACGGTTCATCACAATAGCCCGGTGTCTCACGCAGTTTTCTCGGCAACCGAGGATTCTGTTGTCTTTCTTCCATATAATCTGCTATCAGTGACAAGCTAAGATATTTCATATATTTTTGACGCTTTAGTGTATAGTCATTATTGCTGATCTTATAGATTACTTGAGAGTTAATTCCACACATATTCAAGAGCGCATAGAATACCGTCAACGGCCATCTTCTGCTGTTTCAGGAAACGTCGTATCTACCTAATAATTCTTCAACGGTGTCAACCCCTCCTTTAGTAACATTGTAGAATGTTACTATGTATTTCTAGCTTCCTAGCGTGTCCCGTAGATAAGTCTATTTTGTCGTCATGGTGTAGTGTTAATAACGACAGAACATTTTTGTTTTTCTTTGGGATATAGAATACTAAGGTTGTATTCTTTTGGAAACCAAGAAGTGTAGAATACTGTTCTAGCTTTTATGTTGACCATTGTAGAAGAAATTTACTTCTTGTTCTTTCGGACAGTACCCACAGATGTTAATTGATGTTCTTCAAGAAGTTGTTGCATTAATGGATAATTAGTAAACCAATTATCGAATATGATATTTCGTTTGCTGCCAGACACTGGTGAAATCAATCGTAAAACTACATCTGTAGGCTTCGTACTCAGTTTGAAAGGATCATTAGGTTGAGAACAACAATAAATTTCCAAGTTTGTAGAATAATAACATCTTGAATCGACTATAGCAAAAATTTCGATTCCATAACGAGCCGGTTTATTTGGAATATATTGCCGAAAAGGTCACCTGCCACGAAATGCCTCCAATTTTTCATCAGCATTGAGATACATGCCAGCTTTATTAGCAGACTGAAAATTGTCAACTACTCTTCCGAAAACACCTCTAATCTTCAAAGGTTTCGCCGGGATGATCGATGAATTTCTGCTAAATAAAGTAATTCAAATACAGCCTTGATTTCTTGGTCGGAGGTATCTTTTACTACCTATTGGTAATCATCGTTGTAACGTTCACTTACTGAATTGATTTTTCTCATTAGTATATTTTACAATATCAGCAATGAGTATGTCATCCATTAAAAGCTTCACGCCTCACGTCGTTTTACGCCAAGCAATTGAGAAATTATATTTTCGGCTCTAGTGCGAACCGATTGTAGTTCTACTTTTTTAGCCCATTTCGTTACTTAATCTCTGCCCCAATAATATCTAGCAAATGTAATCACATCATCTCCAGTCTCTTGTTTACTTTCATCTTCTTTGCCATCTCATTCTTGTTCTGTGTCTGTGTCGTGAGAACTATCACTAACATTGTCGAGTTGAACTTCGTCATCGGAATCAGGAATAGCATCATCTTCATTACTTTGTACCTCTTGTCAGAATCTTAGGAACCTTGCTTGCTCTTGTTCATAACTATACATGTTCTAAACAAAGTTTACCACGACAACCAAAGTAAAAAACAAAAAAATCACGTGAAGTTCGAAAAAAATGTCCCTGCATCAACAATGATTAACTGACTGACGCCTGAGATGTGGTGGGCTGTGATATACCGCTGCGGCATATTCTGACATCTATGTAAGTGATTATTGAAAAAATTATGAAAATAACAATGCTACTCGATAGTGTGATGTTATAGTAACAGCTACTTAACAATAGAGGCCAGAGGTGTAGAGCACAAATGTCTATTTCTGTCTCTTTCAGCACTTGGTTTATTTCTTGGTCGCTTGTGTTAAGTGATCAGATATTCCAAGTAGTAATTTTATTTGGGTTTTGGAAGTTTTTCGCTTGCCCTAATTTCTTACCGTAGTCGTCTTTATAGTATTAATCCGGTTCCGAGGCTGTACATTGTTTCTTTGAGCAGTATTTGTTTTTACAATTGGTAGGTTGCTAACCTTGTCAATTACCCTCCACATTTTATCCAGGCTTCAAACCGGCTGTGGTAACCACAGAACTACTCAATCTATCCCGCAAACATCCCAGAGTATTCTGGTAAACACATTACCTTGATCGAGCGCTGCAATATAGACCCATTTCACTAGTCCGACAGAGAAAAATAAAGAAAAGTAGAAAGCACTCCCAGCATCTTTTTCTAATGTGCGAGGTTCATTGGTCACGTGATCTTTCCACTATCAAACAGGCGTGAGGTTAACCAAACGGTTTTTTGAAGGTAGGAAAGTCAAATGTTGTTTTTTAACCCACTTCGCCTGGGCTTTTATACGGAACAATAAATGCGTTGGCCTTTTTCAGTTGTCACTTCAACTTTCCAGTGCATCGTTACCAGCTAGATCTACGCAACTATTTAAAACGTCATAGCTCTTTAGAAAATCCATAACCTCTAACAGTGTTCTCGCCTAGGATATCATTTCCTAGTAGATTGTTATACAATATGTAATAAAACAACTATATTTAATATTTAACAATATCATTATTTATACAAATATCAGTTAATTTTATTAACTGAGAAACTTTCTTTTTCAGGGACCTTTGCGCAACATGCCTATCTCCGAATTTAGAAAAAGGAAACTTCTTTACGTGTTTCACGTATTTTTTGGTAAGTATTTTACAATATCATACACAATACTTTAATATTTGAACTACTTCACTAGACAGAATCTTTGGTGCATCTTTATTAATTTATTTATGTGTGTGCGTATGTATGTATGTGTCTGAGTTTATATGTGGAGAGAGGAGTTAAGCTCCGGAATTATAGACGAGTCAAGTTAGTAGAAAATAAGCGTTTTTTCGTCACAACTATATAGACGGGTTTGACAGTTGAAATGGATAGTATGAGATATTACAAAAAGACTCTCATCTAGGGATTCATGAATTTTTTAGTGGAACTATTTTTAAATAAACAATTAATACGTCAATATCATTATTTTGCTCATAACTTATAAACTTGTCTATTTAGAGATTTGACGTCCACAGACGAGTTGTTGAGAAAGAAAAATACACAAAATGAGATATACTAAATTAAAATCGGTTAATAAACAAAAAAGTTATTGCATAATAACCAAGTAAAACGACTGTTTTTGATTATTGTTAATAACTCTTTTAGTAATGAATAAAATTTATTTAAATGTATCTGAACTTAAAGATCTCATCGTGTTCGAAGTGTGTGCGAAAAATATGCTAGATCCGTCAAATAGTCTTTGCACAATTTAATTTGTTTATAAGATTTTTTGAAAAATGCACAAATTTCTAAGGCCGGTCCAGATAATTTGACTGAATGGATCTTAATAATCCGGGGCTTATTTTCTTCGATGAGACATATATTATTATCCTGTGGAAAAAAAATTAAAAAAAAATACGTTTATGTACACAAAATGATTTATTAATAAATAGCACATTTTAAGTTTATAAACATTTACAATAACTCCGTACTATTTAGTTTAAATTAAATGGCAATAAAATATTCGGAAGGCGGGTTTAAAAAACAACAATTAAAAAAAAGGTCCTGCGACCATTAGGAGCCGAGTTAGTCCTTTTTTTTTTTTTAAATCACTGTTACGTCAATTAACAACATTAAGGGCTGAAATTAACCAATCTTCTAGAAGAAAAGTCAAAGTTATTCTCAAAATGTTTAGCAAAAAAAATAATTGAAAATTGTTTAAACAGGAGTGTTGTAAACGAAGAGTACTTTGCGTTCCGACTAGAATGGAAGGAGTGGGGATTGCCGATTGCACACAAGCCGCGCTCTCCAAAAAAGTCGAGCGCATGGTTTCAAAATAGATTGCTTGGAAAAAAATGACATATCTCGGGTTGTAGTGGACCAAACTTGTTCTTTTTTTTTTTAACTGGGGTACAACGTTAAAATAATAACATTTAACGTACTTTCATTGCAAAATTATTCAAAACAAAGCAGCTAATGACTACGGAATATACAAACTTTTTCTTGAGTCGTCTTTTTATTGTTATTTTTCTATTTATTTATTTCAAATATGATTATATTAAATAACTGTTATAAGTAAATGAACATTTTGAGTAATGTTTACTAAAAATTTATTAATGAAATAATAAATTAATTTTATGTTATTACAGAAGTTGAAATTTTGTGTAGTGATTTTTTAAAATAATTTAATTTACTGTAATTTTCTACGCTTAATTTCTATATCGTCACTGCTACTACTATGTAAACATTTATCTTCATTTTCATCTTCAATTTCATTTGTATTATAACTTTCATAAATCATTTCATTTTCATTGTCGCTATTCTCATCAAACCCAGTTAAATACATTTCATCAATTATCTCTTGTTCATCTGTTGTATCGTTTTCTTCTTCATTAATAATTTCATAAATATTAGTACATTATAATAGTAAAATAATATTATATTCAAAGTTAACCGTATATTATTCAGACAACGTGGTACAACCATGTGTTTTTATTAATATATATCAGAACACGTAGTTTTTTTTAATATTCAGATGAATTTTACGTACCATTAATTATTTGTAACAATTATTAAATGAAACAAAACACTAAATATTTCAATACAACAAACCGGTTGTATAGTCGCAGGAAAATGAGTTGTACCGCTTTCGACGTGCGCTCGACGCTCGACTTTTTTTAGAGCGCGGCTTGAGTGCAATCGGCAATCCCCACTGCTTCCATTTGAGTCGGAACGCAAAGTACTCTTGGTTTACAACACTCCTGTTTAATCAATTTTCAATTATTTTGTTTGCTAAATATTTTGTTAAAAACTTTGACTTTTCTTCTAAAAGATTGGTTAATTTCAGCCCTTATTGTTGTTAATGCATATATATATAATATATATATATATATATATATATATATATATATATATATATATATATATATATATATATATAAAACAATGAATTAAAAAAAAAGGACTAACTCGGCTCCTAATGGTCGCAGGACCTTTTTCTTTTTTTTTAAGTTGTGTTTTTTAACCAGCTTTCCGAATATTTTATTGCCATTTAATTTAAACTAAATAGTACGGAGTTATTTTAAATGTTTATAAGCTTAAAAAGTGCTATTTATTGTTAAATCATTTTGTGTACATAAACGTAATTTTTTTTAACTTTTTTTTCCATAGGATATTAATATATGTCTCAACAAAGAAAATAAGACCCGGATTTTTAAGATCCACTTAGTCAAATTTTCTGGACCGGCCTTAGAAATTTGTGCATTTTTCAAAAAATCTTATAAACAAATTAAATTGTGCAAAAACTATTCGACGGATCTAGCCTATCTTTCGCACACATTTCGAACACGATAAGATCTTTAAGTTCAGATATATTTAAATAAATTTTATTGATTAATAAAAGAGTAATTAACAATAATCAAAAACAGTGGTTTTGCTTGGTTATTATGCAATAACTTTTTTGTTTATTAACCGATTTTAATTTAGTATATCTCATTTTGTGTATTTTTTTCTCAACAACTTGTCTGTAGACGTCAAATCTCTAAATAGACAAGTTTATAAGTTATGAGCAAAATAATGATATTGACATTTTAATTGTTTATTTAAAAATATTTCCACTAAAAAATTCATGAATCCCTAGATGAGAGTCTTTTTGTAATATCTCATACTACTTATTTCAACTGTCAAACCCGTCTCTGCACTTGTGATAAGTAAAAACCTAACTTGATTGGCCTATTAAGACATAAGTCACGGATCGTAATATTTCATGTAAACTAAGTTAATATGAAGTATGATCTGGTACCTACTATTCTGACCTGACACCATATTTTTTACTATACCATGTATACATATTTTTTGATACGCTATATACAGTATAAGTACCAATACGTCTCACGTCATTTAATTTGGTGTGTCATATGTAAAGATTCTGCTAGTTGTTTATTTTACACTCAATCACATCCCTTATTCGGATCAATAAAGCAAATTTACCTTATAGTCTATCTATTATTATCCATAGTGTCATGTGGTATCTCGTAAGTCGCTATACGTTCATTAATAAAAAAATGCTATGTAGTGCCCTTTTGGTAGCCACCTTGTTTGTTTTTTCTATCTTAATATATTCTTTTTATTCTCCTAAACTACTATGACGTATGTTGGGATTAAACTCCTTCTTTCACTAACTATGACGTATGTTGGGATTAAATCAGTTGTTTACTTCGTACTCAAGGAGAGGCCTTCTTTAAGTCAATAAATCAAGATTTGTCTTATACCAAATCTATGGTTATCCCCAGTACCATACGATATCTTGCATGTCGCTATATGTTTATTAATAACGAAGATGCTGTGTAGTGCTCATTTGGTAGCCGCCCTGTTTTTATCTTATTATATTCGTTATATCCTCTTCTTTAATTGACATTACCGGACGCTCCATTTAGATCAATAACTGCAGATCTATGATGTAATGCCCTTTTGGCAATGCCGCTATTTATGTTTTTTTTTGTCTCAACATATTCGCTACCCCTTCTACTATTTTAACTCACGAAGCGCAAAGGCCAACATGTGCGTTGCAGATGATTCACTCTTCACGGTATTTATACAGGACACTTACTACCGTAACAGTTTGTCATTTATTTTGTATAAAGGTATCGTTACGGTCAAAGTCTTTCTCAAATATGTAACGTATTGACCAATTTATCTGTTAGTATGGCGAAAAAATTTAATATTTTCTAAGAGCAACAACAGTATTTGCAAAGGATAAACAATGAGTTCATTGATATGACTGATGAGGAAGCAGGTGATGACTTAAAGTGAGAAATCTGAAGACGACTATATTTCGGCTTCGTCAGACTCGGAAGATGATGAAAAAAAAAAAAGACCGGTTGCAAATAAGTTAAAACGTAAAAGTGCATACCAATCTTTAAGCCACGTAGATGAAATTATAGATATAGTAGTGCTTCAACATAGTTGTTTAGCATTTGAAGATGAAGGTGTAGAGCAACCTTAAATCGATATTTTGGACGTTCAAGACACAGATTACAACGACACTGAACTTCTACTTACTGCTGTTGAATTTCAGCTTACATGAACTGTTGCAACAAGACAAATTCTAAAGGTATTTGATTTAAATGCACTAAGTTATGGTATTTCAACTAACGCCGCATCTTTATTAGCGTAAAACTAAAATGTCTTTAAATTTTTTATAATAGATGATATTACGGACTTTATCGTATTTGCAATGAACAGATATGCTGAACATATCATTTCAAACAAACTATTTCTCAGCAATCAAGATTTTAACAGGTAGCAACAAAAAATCTCGACTTTCAGATTATTGCCGAGGACCTTCTATATACCAGTAATATTACAAAATATATTACAAGAAATCGTTTCAAACTGATATTACGCACGCGGCATTTTTCCAACAATATTGAATGTCCAAGAGGTAATCGACTTTTTCAAAATTCAACCTCTAATCGAACGTTTGTTTGACCGATTTCAAACTGCTAATATTCTAAAAAAGAAATGTAACTATTGATGAGACCTTGGTACCATTTTGTGGACAGCTGGCCGTCAGGCAATATATCAAAAATAAGAAACTTACGTTAGGCATACAACTTTACAAATAATGTACTCTTGATGAATTGACCCTTCTGTTCAGG